AAATTCCAGATCCTTACATTTCAATCTTGGATAGTGAGTTATATGGGACGATTCTGGCCATTTGGGCTTGCCCCTATGATTAGACTGGTGTGTTCCTAGCACACGAAAATGAAAGCATTGATAGTAAGCAAGCCAGTACTAAAGAAAAGAGGAAGGAATCCATGAAAACGTTAAAGAAAGGCTTTCCCACTTTTGAAGGCAATGAGGACGTGAGCTTGAAGGAGAGAGGACACAATAATCGTAGGTCCTAGCATTCTTGGAACGATAGGAAATGGAAGCGCTCGAAGACGGTTCGACAAGCCCCAAGCGATCTTGTTGCGAACTTTAGGGTTAGAAAAATAGGACATCTATGGCCTTTGTGAGCAGTTTTATTACACAAACTAAGAGGATCTTCACCTGAAGTGACATGGGTTCGCCTGTAACCCAAACGTTTTCCACTGACCATAGGGTTAGGGGGTTAGCTGCGACATTAGCGACTACTAAATTCCTTTAATTATCGAGGTTGACCAAATTTGACCCAGAAGCAAGGTAGTACTGAAAATATCTTTACATGAAATGCTTTGCAGATTCGTGGAATCCATGGAACATCTGAATGGATCTTGGGGTGAGAACTGGGGCCCAGTCGGCACGAAATTCTTCATGAGGGATTATGCAAATTTCCAAGAGAGTGAGTCATCCGAAATAGGTCCCGCAACGAATGTTTATAAGTTTTAATTTTCAGCTTTTGCCGATGATATGGATGAGGATCTCGCTGAACCAGATGAAGAAGGCGAAGTAACGACCACCACGGCAGCCACCGTTGAGGTAATTCTAGCTTTATGTGAATTTCTACTACATGTTACATTGGCGCCAATAATCACAGCTATCTGCACTTTTTAATCGTCAAGTCTTGCGTTCGCGAGCGGCTTTTTTGGCAGTACTTCATGTGGATGATGGACCAGTGTAATTGGAAAATCTGGTTGTAGTAAAGATGCTGCTCAGATAAACTTGCAGGAGGAACCTCCGAGTTACGGGCCGCAGCAGTGTCGGCAGCATATACTGCCGGAACGCCCACTAGTCTATGATTGGCT